GAACTTAATGTGGAAACACCGGGTCAGGACAAACAACGAGAGCAGCTCTGACTTTTAAACAAATATTTATTCTGCATCGATGTTAAAAGTGCGAACAGAGCAGATCTGACGTGCTTGTGTTTCTGTGTCTTGGGTCTGATGACACGTGTTGACTGTTTGTTCCTCTGCAGAACTCCAGCCTCAGCGCTCAGGATCACGAGAACATCATCGTGGTGAGTTTGGGTTTTCTTCTCCTCCATAGCTTCCTGTTGTGTGTTTATGCAGCTCACCAGAGTCTCTGCTGGCTCCCAGCCCGGCTAAATAAACAGCACCAGGTGGAAATATTTATCTTTGTGTTGGTTTGCAGGCGATTGCTCCTCTGCTGGAAAACAACCACCCGCCGCCGGACCTGTGCGAGTTCTTCTGTAAGGTGAGCACCAGAGCGAGCGGCGCTGTGCACGGAGCAGCTGGACGGTCACGGGTTTCAAATGTTTATTTCTCTGGTTTGTTGCAGCATTGTCGGGAACGGCCGCGGTCCATGGTTGTGATCGAAGTGTTCACTCCGGTGGTCCAAAGGATCCTCAAACACAACATGGTGAGAGCAGACACTGATCTGAGCTCAGTTTAAGACTCTTGAACCTCAGCGTGAAAACAAAACTCGTCGTTTGTTTCTACTTCCTGTTGGTTTAATTCGACAGCTGTCGTCACACCCCGCTGTACGAAAGCTGCTGCATTAATAAAACTTAAGACGTTGGGGGTTTTATTACAAAACAGACTATACAGTCATGTTTATTAAGTTTAAATTGTTTAATGAAGAACCTGAAGACATTTACGACCCGCAGGTTTTCAGTGGTAGCAAGGATCTGCAGTAAAAACCACTTCCCGTTCAGGGCCGGTTCCACCTGACCCCAGTTCCTCGTTTAGCTTCTGGTCCTTGTCTGATTTATGTTTTTAAACTGGTGTTTTTATAAACTGCTTCCATCCATCCATCTATTTTCTTTCACTTATCCGGGGTCGGGTCGCAGGGGTAGCAGCTTAAGTAGGGAGGCCCAGACTTCCCTCTCCCCAGCTACTTGGGCCAGCTCCTCCGGGGGAATCCCGAGGCGTTTCCAGGCCAGCTGAGAAACATAGTCCCTCCAGCATGTCCTGGGTCTTCCTCTGGATCTCCTCCCGGCGGGACGTGTCCGGAACACCTCACCAGGGAGGCATCCAGGAGTCATCCTAAACAGATGCCCGAGCCACCTCAACTGGCTCTTCGCAAAGTGGAGAAGCAGCGGCTCTACTCTGAGTCCCTCCCGGATGATCGAGCTTCTCACCCTGTCTCTAAGGGAGAGCCCAGACACCCTGTGGAGAAAACTAATTTCAGCCGCTTGTATCCGAGATCTCGTTCTTTCAGTCACATCCCAAAGCTCGTGACCATAGATGAGGGCAGGAACGTAGTTCGGTAAATTGAGAGCTTCGCCTTTTAACTCAGCTCTCTCTTCACCACGACAGACCGGTACAGCGCCCGCGTCACTTCTGACACTGCACCTATCGATCACCGCCTATCGATCTCACCCTCCATTTTGTGAACAAGACCCTGAGATACTTGAACTCCTCCACTTGGGGCAAACTGCTTCCTAACTTAAGATTTTCACTGCCCACAGTCAAAAAGACGTGTCTGTCTGTCTGTTAGCAAAATCATCTGAAAAGACTCAGACTAGTTTGTCTGCAGGGACATGTTCAACTCAGGTGCGTCCTGTAATCAGCATCTCAGGTGTCTTCAGTCTGTAATCAGTCAGTCTGCCTGTTTAAAGGGTGACAGGTAGTCACAGGGCTGTTTGGTGTCCTGGTGTGTAACACACTGAACACAAGAAGCTGAGGACGAGAGAGCTCAGAAAGAAACGGCGTGTTAAGCAGCTTGATGTTCCTCTGACTACAACTGCACAGATTATTCAGAAGGTCCACAGTACTGAAGACAACCTCCCAGGACATGTCCACAAGAGGACAACTGAAGACAAACTGAAGAGACGGATATAATGAATAGAAACCAAAGAGACCAGAACAACTTCCAGAGAAATTAGAGGTGAACCCTAAGGTCACAGGTCATGGGTCCTCCAACAAGATAATGACCTAAAATACAACTAAAAACACCCAGGACAGGATCAGAACCAAACGCTGCACAGTTCTGAAGTGACCTCCTGAGTCCTGATCTCAGTCTTGTTGAACATCTGTGGAAGGAGCTGAAACATCTGGAGAAGGAACCTTCAGACCTGAGACAGCTGCAGGAGTTTGATCACGAGAAGTGGGACCAGGTGAACCAGAACACCTTTGGACCAGAACACCTGTGGACTGGTGGTTTAGGACATCTGTGGTCAGGTGGACCAGGACACCTGTGGACCGGTGCAGAAGTCACTTGAATGTCTCACAGGTTGGACAACAACACGTTAACGTATTGCCCTTTGAGTCGCGGTCCGCTTCATTCGATCTTCAAATGGTTCTGTTGAATTAAAAGTCAAAACCGATTTCATTGATTGATTTTTATATATTTTATGTTTGGTTTTTTCTTTGTCAGTTTAGAGTTATTTCAGTGACCTTTTGCAAGTTTTTATTTCCTTAACAAAGCAGACATGTTTGTCCACGTCTCTGTTTGCAGGTCATTAAAGGTTTTGAGTCATTCCAACTCAAGATGGCCGCCACAGTAACGAGTCGGTAACTTTTCGTTGGTCGATCGTTTTAAACATTTTGCTTTCCTCCCACAGGATTTTGGTAAATGTCCCCGGCTGCGTCTCTTCACTCAGGAGTACATTCTGGCTCTGAACGAGCTGAACGCTGGGATGGAGGTCGTTAAGAAGTTCGTCCACAGGTGAGTTCAGATCAGCTGCAGAATCAGCCGATAGCAGGATCGCATCAGCCGAAGGTTCGGCTCTCAGGATCCGTGGGTTCTAACGGGTTGTTCTGTGTTGCAGCATGCACGGTCCCACGGGGCAGTGCCCCCACCCGCGTGTCCTGCCAAACCTGGTCGCAGTGTGTTTGGCTGCCATTTACTCGTGCTACGAGGAGTTCATCAACAGGTCAGCTGCACCAGCACACAATAACCGCTGCCTCCTCTTCCTCTTGTTTCCTGAACTGGATTCACCTTCACGAGTCTTCATGTTTGTTTTTGTCCGTTTTTCACCTCAGAGACGTAAGAAGGCAAAGCCCTCGACTGAACCTTCCTTTATCTCTGAGTAGCTGCAGATTGTGTGCTGTTTTTTACTGATAATTTTGAATATTTACGCAAACATACTGGTCATTTCATCAAACCTGGGTTTATTTGTTTTGAGAGCCTTTGTCTCACAATCTGTAATTAGCTCCTCATCCTACAGCTTTGGGAAAACTTAAACAACAAAAACAAAATTCACTAAAACAGACAGCAGAGAGAACATTAACCACAAACGAGGTGAAATGTTCCTATGGACGACCGTAAGATTTATTTATAGTGAGTAGTTAAAACCTGGTCCTGTTTGGATCTCCAGCTCAGATTTCACAGCAGAACCATCATTCAGAGTCTAAACGGGTCACAGAAAGTCGGACTTTCCATGACGTACAGGTTTTAACCTAGAGTTTGAAAACAATTCTTCAAAGTAAGAGTCTGGATCTGTTAAATCGTAAAATATTACAAAAGTAAAACCTGTTGTTGGCGTTTGAGGCAGGAGCTGCGTGGGTGCCTTTCAACAGTTCAACAGAAATATTCAAAGTGTTTGTCGTAGTTTACTAGCTGCTGCTGCTGTAGTAACTGTTGTTGTGTTAGTTTTAGCTACTGTTGTTGTACCTGTCGTAGTAGTTGTAGCTGATTCAGATGTTGTTGTGGTTGAACCTGTTATAGTAGTATCTGTTGTGTATGTCGTAGTGGTATTTGTTGTTGTTGTATATGTTGTAGTACCTATTGTTGTATATGTTATTGTCTGTTGTTGTAGACACTGCCTGGCCAAAAAAAAAGTTGCCACCAAAAAAAAAGATCACATTAATATTTAGTTGGACCTCCTTTAGCTTTGATCATGTCATGAATTTGCTGTGTCATTGTTTCGATAAGTTGCTTCTGCAATATCACAAGATCTATTTCTATCCAGTGTTGCATTAATTTTTCACCAAGATCTTGCATTGAAGACTAGGCATGATGGGTGCATCACTTCACCTGCCTCTCTTCTTACCCTGATGTGTCCATCACTCTGGAACAGGGTCAATCTGGACTCATCAGACCACATGACCTTCTTCCATTGCTCCACAGTCCAATCTTTATGCTCCCTAGCAAACTGAAGCCTTTTTCCCCAGTTAACCTCACTGATTACTGGTTTTCTTAATGCTACACAGCTGTTCAGTCCCAATCCCTTGAGATTGTGCATGCGGCAATGCTCCTACTTTCACTATTAAACATATCCCCGAGTGCTGCTGTTGTTTTTCTTCGATTTGATTTCACCAAATGTTGACGTGATCACCGATCACGGTCATTCAGGATTTTTTTTCCAGCCACATTTCTTCCTCGAAGACGACGGGTCCCCACTATCTGTCCAGTTTTTAATAATGCGTTGGACAGTTCTTAACCCAGTTTTAGTAGTTTCTGCAATCTCCTTAGATGTTTTCTCTGCTTGATGCCAATGATTTGACCCTTCTCAAACAGACTGACATCTTTTCCACGACCACACGATGTGTCTTTGCACATGGTTGTTTAAGAAATGAGAAGCAGCTCATTGCACCAGTTGGAGTTAAATAACTTGTTGCAGCTGAAAGATAATCGCCCGTGCAGTAATTATCCAATAGGAGGCTCGTACCTGTTTGATTAGTTAAATCCAGGTGGCAACTTTTTTTTGGCCAGGCAGTGAATGTTGTATATGTTGTTATACATGTTGTTGTGTACGTCGTAGTACTATTTGTTGTTGTATATGTTGTAGTACCTGTTGATGTAGTATTTGTCGTCGTTGTGTCTGTTGTATATGTCGTAGTATCTGTTGTTGTTGTCGTCGTAGTGGAGTCTTCCCTCTGTTTGCCTCCGTGTGTACATTGATTAGACAAACACGTGACTGGTAATTTCCCACATCTCCCAGGACTTATCTGAAGGAAACAGTACAAACAGTCGTTTCCAGGAAGGCTGCTCATAACCACATTATTCTCTTTATAGCTTTAAACTGGTTTACGGCGTCCCCCAGCACCACAGAGATATACAAACAATTACAGAAAAACAAATAAATGGAAACTAATTAAAGACCTGATTATTAGACTTGAAGTGGGACGTTTCTTCTGAGGTGCCTGTTTGTGGCTTTATCTTATTTTTAAAACTAAATGAAACTTTGAAGCATCCAGTGTTAAAGAGTTTAGCTTTTGTTAAATGACTTGTGTTGATAAAACAAACTTTTCATAGATTTTCTTTAAATAGATCTCATCAAAGCGTGTCGGTGTTGTCATTCAGGTTTTCAATAACATAATTTGTGTTTTACTGATCATTTCAGCGTCATAACCTCATTAAACATCATCCCCTGAGTGACTGAACACCTCTACCTTTCTGAATGACAGAAAAAACAAATGATCAGTTGAAATATTTTTACTGAAAACTAAAAGTGAAGGACTCTTTTTATTTTTTAAACTTGCCTCCGAACTTTATTTTACTCCAAAATCTTCTTTCTGTGATGGTTCATTGACGGTGAAATATCTCATTTATTCTTTATTCCAAACGGTGTTTCATGGTTTCTCTGAAAGGTTCCAGTTAATCTAAACCTGATCCTGAGTTTTAGCAGTCTTGAGTTAAAAAAAATAAAATAAAATCTGAATCCAGGAGGATCTGCAGAGATTACGACTAGATTATTTGAATGGTAATCACTGTGGATTACAGTATACTTATTATTAGCAAACAGTTTCTCATAATGACAGAAAGGTTCTGATGACCGACCACTGGAGCCTGGTGGATCTGGGTTTGGACCTTAATCTGAGCTGAGAAACTTTAATCTCTAATCTAAAAAAGTTAAATCAGGAAGAAGTCTTTTGGATGAAAGATGAAACATTTCTATAATTTTTTTTGTTTTTTGAACCCGTCCAGAGGACCTGATTTAACTTCTTTTTTTACCTGGATTATTGAGCATGCATCAAGATATTTAATCTCTAATCTTGTATCCTGATCCTGCCGAGCCTCCTGAAATCTCATGTTTCAGTCCAAAGTTTTGCACGTATAAACTCTGATCTGTGGAAATGGTCCTGACACGTTACAGAACCATCAGAACCACCTCCGTCAGAACCTTGTTGTTTTTTATGAAGGGTTCTGGAAATGAAATCACACCAGCATGTTTTTGCTCCAGACAGACATCTTTCCAGGAAATAAATCATAATGTTTCTTTCTAATGTTCTCCACCAGGACTCCCAGTTAGCTTCTGTCACCTCAGAGAGGAACCGTCTCTGTGGCACCGGTCCCTCCAGAGTCCACTTACATGTCTCTTGAGTCTTGAGTGCTTGTTTTTGATCTCGTGTCTGATGGTTACTAATGTTTCTTGTTCTTCTACCCCCTCCCGCCCTTGTTACAGTCGGGACAACTCCCCCAGCCTGAAGGAGATCAGAAATGGCTGCCAGCAACAGAACGACCGCAAACCGCCGATGCCGCTCCGCCTGCTGCGCCCGGAGCCCCCGCCGCCCCCCACGACCCTCGTCCCGCTCTCTACCGCCCCCTGTCCTCCTCAGCCGCCCCCACCCATCCCGACAAACCCCGTGACCTCCCCGACGCCCTCCTTGCCCCTCTCCCCTCCCCCCACCATCGTCAACTCCAGCGAGATCCTGGTGGAGCTGGAGCGGAACAACAACTCGGCCAACGCCAAGCGGAAGGGCGGGCCCGCGGGCGGCGACAGCGAGCCCAACCTCATCGACTGCCTGCTGGTCAGCCCGGCCGTCAACATGCTGTCCATCCAGCTGCCGGCGCAGGCGGACCGGGTCCTCGGCTGCTTCGCCCTCATCCTCAAGATGCTGTGAGTTCAGACACCGTTTGACTTTGAATTGACTGACAAATCAGGCCGCTGGTCGACAGTCGAGCTCAGACCAGCGCACGTTAAACCCGACGGGGACTTTGATCCTCACACTTCCAGCACAGATGGTTCTGATCCGACTTTTAGAGACCCAACTCTGAGGAAACATACCAGGCTGCCGGGGGCTCATAGACAAGTCATCACATCTTTAAAACAAGTGTGAACTCTGTTGTATTCAGGGGGGGTTTGTGCGTGTTTATGGAGGATTGTACCGAGACAGAGCAGAACTCAGCAGATCTGAAACCTGAAATCTGAAACGGAAAGAATCGTTGATTTTCAGTGTTATCAGTCTTAAGATGACCAAAAATTAAATTCGGTTTATATATAAATAGTGCCAAGTCACAACAGAAGGGCGCTGTATAGAAACATTCATATACATAAAACGTAAGTTAACATTATTTATCTGAGGAGCAGACTGCTCTGAGTCTAACTTCATCACAAAACTCTCATCCTGAGCAAACACGAAGGCGACAGTGGAAAGGAAAACCTCCCTCATGAGGAAGAAACCTCCAGCAGAACGAGGCTCAGGACGATCACCATCTGCTTCAATAAGCTCACAAATGTACAAAACTAGTTTAAATGAGTTTGAGACACAAAACTTGTCCGTTTTATTTTTGTTACATGTTTAATACACGTTTTATAGTTGCACCCGACAACAAAACGCCAAAGATAAAGCAAATAAAACGAGGACGAAAATGTAAAATAAACCAATAAAAGCATAGCAGAAGTAGATCTTATCCAAACAAAGTTTAAAGATGGGATTAATCAGGGACTTTTTAGTCTCTATAGTCTGAACTTTACAGTTAAACGCTTTATAAGTTTGAGGTTCTAATCTGGATCTCTGGACCGTCAAGAGAAACCAGCTGGTTGCTCCTCCTTGAGTGTTGAAGTGTAGAAGTAAAATAGAAACCATACTTACCGCCTTACACATCGCACCACCATGTAAGTCGCATCAGTCCAAATATGTCTAATGAAGTGGGAAAAACATAAATATGTCGCTTCGTCGTATAAGTCGCATCTATTATGCGTCACCGTTGACAACCCGGAAATGTGTGCCGGTGTTGTGACAAAAATCGTTCGGCTGCCAAATGGCCGCCGCGGGAGCGTGCACAGGAGAATGTTAACAAGAATTTAACAAGATTAACACAACAATTATTTGTTTACTCGACATTATGGCAAAGCTGTGTCTCAGTTGAACGTTTCCTTAATAAATGCACTTTAACAATCAAATCAGCTGCATTTCGCGTGGGCGGTGCGGCAAAATGAATCTGATTTGACGTTTGCTCCATGAGTTCAAGAGCGAGATGAAGGTGGGTTTGTATGGCAAGTCAAGTGTCTCATTAATAGCCACTTTTACCTTTTAATGAGCCACTTGGCTTGCCATATAAGTTGAGAGCCTCTAGTGGCTGAACATGGTAGTGTTCAATATTTTCTATGTCAGAATGAAAGAAATCGTCAGATCTCAGCCAAAAATTGGGTTATAAATATGGAAAAAAAAACAAATATGTTGCTTCGCTGTATAAGTCGCAGGCATGCTAATTTATGCAAAAAACTGTGACTTATACAGCAAAAATGTCAGTAGATGAATGGATAAATAGATAAACTTACCAGTACTTGCTCTTACTTACACTTACTACTAACTCTTACAGAGCGTTTCAGACTTTAAAAGTTAATAACTTTTTTAATTTGATCCAAAATCAGACAGGAGGAGGTGCCACAACAGGAGTTGTGTTCTGGTTTCTTCATATCGGTCAGAAGACGAGCTGCTGGGTTCTGGACGGTTTAAACGCCATCCAGAAGATTTCTTTAAACCAACATCCTGAGACGTACAGACACAAAGTGGAAAAAGCAGGAAGAACATTCTCCAGATCTTTATCAGAGAGATACAGATATGTTGGCTACAAGTCTGAGCTGACGTCACTGAGTAACGTCGCAGCAACATTTGGGCCAGAATTTATGGACGTGTATGTAAATTTGAAGGGGTTCTGAGTCTCAGTCCGGCCAGAGACTTCTGAACTCTTCAACAACTGGTCTCCAGCAGTCGCAGCTCAGTAAGAAGCCGAGTTTCTTTGACCATCATTAGGAATTATTTACAAAAACGTTTTGTTTTACTCGTTTAACGCTCTTAAGGTCGAGCCAGGAGGCAAACATTAGGACTTCCTGTAACGGATGAGCTCGAGCGTCCCGGTCTTTGAAGGTTCTGTGTGTGCGTAGCTCCGACCCGGTGATGTTTGGTGTGTTGGGTGTTCAGACAGCGTGACGCGAGTCAGCTGCAGCTTCTGTCTGCGTCATCTCGCTCTGCTTTGTCCTCACCTGTTCTTGTGGTTTTTAGGTCAGACTACGATGACTGGAGACCTGCTCTGGCCAGCCTGCTGCAGCCCATCCCCTTCCCCAAAGAGTGAGTACTCGCGTCTTGTTCTTCAGCTCATGAAGCGTCTCAGTCGGGTTCAGAACCGTCGTCAGAAGATCACGTTAAAAAGATGCACTCCATGCAGTTTTAATTCTCACGTCGAGCTGTGTGTAAAATATTCACTGTACCTGAAGAAAAAGACGTTTTACTTTTAAAAGTTCATTTCCACTCGGGTCCGACATGAAGGTTCTCCTCTCAGACCCGGTTAGAACTAAAACTTTCTCCGTTAAACGTAGAACCGTGGTTCAGTTGGTGCGAGGTGCTCTCCTACAAGAACCTTTCTGTAATAATCACTTCAAGTCGAACGACAGGTTCACTCTGGTTCTACGGGTCAGGAAGTTCTGACACAAGTGGGTCTGGTTCTCCGAGGGTGGGTAAAGAGTCCCTCCACCTTTTGAAATATTCCAAACGGGAACCTTTAGTGGACAAATCAAGTTAAAACAAAAATATAAACATTTAATTGTCAAAAGTTTTTAAAACGTGTTTAATGAGCTCATTTGCATATGACGACATCATCACGTGTCACAACTCTCAAGAGAACAGGTTCTGTTGTAGGTCAGCTGCTGTGTTTGGGATCATGGTCCTGTTGGACCCAATTTGGTCTAAGCCGTCGATCAGATGTTGGACATCCAGAACCGTTTGGTCTACAGATGAGCTCATGGTTCACTCCTTGGCTGCAAGGAGCTGCAAAACACCTGAGTCATCATTCTTCAGCCACAGGGAGTACTGTTGCCTTTCTTAATGACGCCTGAAGCGCAGACCGGGCCGCAGCGGCCCAGATGAGGAGCAGGTGCGTCCCAGGGCTGGAGAAACAACATAATGAAGCTCTAAACGGGCCAAATGATGAGAGCGGGCTCTCTGAGGGGAGGAGGACTGAGACTCCTGAGGTGAGCTAAGATGGCTCTCCTACGTCAACAGCCGGGCCCACTGGACCCTGTCAGAACCACGGACACTTCCACAGCAACAGAGACAAAAATAAGAAAGACGAGGGATTCATTCACGGCTGGAGTTGAACCAACACAAAAAATATTTTCCTCATTTCTCACTCTGCAGACTGAGTTTCTCTGAAACTTCTTCAGCTGCACTTTAACATCGGTCCAAACCCGTCAGAACAAATGTGCCGTACGGTTATTTATCAAGACAGAAAACATGGCAGCACAACTTGATCATGATCAGTGGGACCATCCCTGGAAAAGCAGCACGTTCTGCTGCTCCGGAGCATCCAGGTGTGCGTAAACACAACACCAGGGTGGAACGACATCAGCAATGAACTTAGAAATTTAACAATGTCCTGTCAATCTGAAAGGTCAAAGGTCATGTTCAAACTGCGTGGAGTCCATCGTTCTGCAGAAAGATTCTTCAAAAATGGAAACATTTCAGACAGCTGATTCACCCTGAAGGTCAGACCATGCAGTGACACTGCAGGCCTCAGTCAGCAGGTCAAAGGTCGAGACCTCTTCTCTCTAAAAGCACGGCAGCATGACTTTCATCTAAAAAAACACAAGATTTCTGGACCAGAACCAGACCAAAGGACGTATGTTTACCCAGAATGCACTGCAGCAAACGGCTCCTCCCAGCTGTCAGCACGGTGGTGGAGGGCTGATGGTTTGAGCGCCTGCCAGTCACTGAGTGGACCAGGAACTCCTCTGTAGACCAAAGGGTTCTGGATTCAGATGTGGGTCCATCTGTCCAACAGCTGAAAACTGGACCAAACTGGGTCCAACAGAACCATGATCCCAAACACAGCAGCTGATCTACAGAACGGGTCAGAAAGAACAGAACCAAGGTGCTGCAACGGTCCAGTTAAAGTCCAGAACCTGAACCTGCCTTAAAAGCTGTGGTGGACCTTCAGAGGGCTGAGCAGAACCCTCAATGATGGAAAGAAGAGTGGGTCAGAACTCCTCTAGAACCAGGAGAGATACTGGTGAAGTCCTAGAGAAAAATACAGAGAGGGTCCTGGTTCTGTTGGGTCAGGAGCTGGACCTAGTTTGTGAGACTTGGTTTAGTTTTTGTTTAAAAAAAAATTAAGGGATTCGTGTAGTTAAGTCACTTTTATGTCTTTAAGGAAAATATTTTGAACGTGTCACTTAATGACCCTAAACACACCGCAGACAGGGCGGATTACATCATCGCCCACCTGACTTCTCTGTGGGCGATATAAGCCCCTCCTCCTTCAGCCTGAGACACGTTTTCTTTGATCATACAGTTCGACTCACTCCTGTGTTTCTGTCCTGCAGAGCTTTGGCCCACTCCAAATTTACAAAGTGAGTATTTCAGTCGTGGCTCGCAGCGTCTGGTGGCCCCGCCATCTTTAAACCCGCCTGACGCTTGTTTTTCTGCACAGGGAGCTGAAATACGTCATCCAGAGGTTCGCACAAGACCCCAGACAGGAGGTGAGGCTGCGCTGCGACACGTCAACCTTTAAACGAAGCAGAAAAATGAACCTGCCGTGTTTTTGTCCTCAGGTCCACTCCTGCCTGCTCAGCGTGCGCTCGGGTAAAGACGGCTGGTTCCAGCTCTACAGCCCAGGGGGCGTGGCCTGTGACGACGACGGCGAGCTGTTCGCCAGCATGGTGAGTTCACGGAGGTCAGAAACTGAAAACGAGATCTTTTGATCTTAATTCTCGTTTTATTTTCAGTTCAAACCGTTTGAATAGATTTTTTTTCTTATTTTTGACAAAACTGAATCTAAAATACACTTTTAGATCAGCGTGAATCCTGAGCGCTGAAGGTGAAACTAAAATGTTAAAACGATCATAACAAAAGCCAAAATGTTCAGACAGTAAATCAGTAGCTGAAAGCTCAATGTAACTAAACTGTTGCTAAAAGCTAAAATAAATCAAGCTGTAGATTTCAGAGAGCACAAAGTTTTACTTTGTTTATTCCAGTGAAAAAAGATGTAAACAAAGTAAAAAGTTTCTAAAAGTATTAAACTTAGAAAACCCAACAGTTGCAGCCAAAACGTCCTCAACAAGCCGAACGTTGTAATCGATGAAGTAGCCGAAGGTTTGCTGAATTCCCATGAGGTCAAACAAGAAATGTCTCTGTTTAACCTTCAGCTGTTTTCTGACGCATAAACAATAATTAATGCAGAACATGAACCGTTTTTCTGTGGTTCATCTCTTTGTGCAGCTCTGTTCCTTTTGTCTGTTGTGCATCCAATGTTCAAACACAAAGTGACGCTCCTCCTCCGGTCCAGGTCCACATCTTGATGGGTTCCTGCTATAAAACCAAGAAGTTCCTGCTCTCTCTGGCTGAGAACAAGCTGGGTCCCTGCATGCTGCTGGCCCTGCGGGGGAACCAGACCATGGTGGAGGTCCGTCTTCTTCTACTTTTTATTAAAGTACCTGAATATGTTCAGTGGGAAACGGTGATGATGGATGATTTGTAAAACGGTGATCTTGTTTGAACCGAACCGTCGACCTCCGCGTTGTCCAACGGTTCCTGGTTTCAGCTCCTTCGTGAAGGCTGACCCCTCCGCAGCTGAAAGTGACGTGTTTCTGTGCAGATCTTGTGTCTGATGCTGGAGTACAACATCATCGAGAACAAAGACACGCAGCTGCAGATCATCTCCACGCTGCAGAGCACGCAGGTCGGCTTCCGGATGTACGAGCAGCTCTGCGACCGGCAGCGGGAGCTCAAAGAGCTGGTGAGTTTCTGCTATGACACGCCGAGGCCCGGAACTGCAGCGGAAACGCAACAGCCACAGGTTTCCCTCCACGCACCTGTGGCCTATAAAACACTGAGGTCTGGGGCTTTGGACCCATTAGAAGCCGGGGAGGCTCCAGGAAGCAGAGCGTAGGCCCAACCTAACCCGTTAAGTTCCTCATGATACTGAACTCCACGCAGTCATTTAATACCACAGAGAGCAGTAGCACTTCCTGTACAGCCTGAGGTCACTTCCTGTTAGAATTTCAAAATATTTTTACAAATTTAGAAAACTGGGATTCTTGGAGTCCAGAGAGAAAATATTTTGCCGACATGACGTTTTTCAAAGAGCTTTCTATGACAGGTAAGATATTTACTATAGCCTCTCTACAGAACTACTCTTTAGAATGTCCAAACTATCCCTTTAATATCGTTTTTAGAAAAAATGTGAAATAAATAAAAACAATTAACTTGTCCTTTAGTTGCAGCTTTGACCATTTGGTTTCACCAAGTAATAAAAATAAACCATTAATAACCTAAATATCTCTTAAAATTATCATTTATTACATTAAATTCTGATTATACCGTTTCAGAAGTCAGATGTCCAACTTCCTAAATAACACCTGAACGCAGCACATCAGCTCCATCCACACTGACAAGAAAAAACATTTATTTTCCTGCTGGTTTTTACATTTAGAGAAAATATATATTTTTACAAACAAACTGCAGGGGCACGCGGTAGCTCTGTGGTCAGTGCCAATGTCTCATGAACATGAGGACGCAGATTCGAGCCCAGGAAGATAATCCGGTGTCCTTTCCTTCGAGTTCGCTGGAAAAGGGAGCAGCTGTAAGAACAACAAACTTCAGGTTTTGTGTAAACGTGTGGATGTTGTCGCCCCCCGGTGGCTCGGAGTGCTCATTAATTTTAATACCAAAATTCATGCTCAATAATCCAGGTAATAATCCAACAATGTTCAGTCAGGTCATCTGGACGGTTTCTTTCTTTTTTTATTTGATGAGACGTTTTGTCCTTCATCCAAAGGACTTCTTCAATCACTTCTTCAACAAACGCGAGTCCCACCACAAATGGCACACTCCCATAGTAGAAAATAAATTGTTTGCTGGTGACAAGATGGCCTCCAGGGCCCGCCCTCTTCCCCAGCAACTCCTCTGAGGCAGCCTTGCCAAAGTGGTTCAAAACACAAAAGAACATTGTTGGATTATTACCTGGATTATTGAGCATGAACTTTGGTGTTATGAACCACTTTGGCACGGCTGCCCCAGAGGAGTTGACGGGGGAGAGGGTGGGCCCCGGAGGCCATCTTATCACCAACAAACTGTCTTTCTCCACTATGGGAGTGTGCTGTTTGTGGTGGGACTCAGTTGGTGTGGTGTCTCCTCAGATTGAAGAAGTCTTTCGGATGAATGATGAAACGTCTCAGCAAAAAAAGAAACCGTCCAGATGACCTGACTGAACATTATTGCATTAATTTTTTTTTTTTTTTTTTTTTTTTACTGGTGTGGACAAAACCTTCAGACCATGTTTTCAGCTCGGACTCATCTGGTTTTGTTTTCTTGTAGCAAAGAAAAGGAGGCCCCACTCGGCTGACCCTGCCCTCCAAATCCACGGTGAGATCAGATGAAACAATCCTGGATAATCTGGAGGAAGCTGTTCAATTTTAATGTTTTAACAAACGTCTTTCTCTGCAGGATGCAGATCTGGCCCGTCTGTTGAGTTCAGGGTCCTTTGGGAACTTAGAGAACTTGAGTCTGGCCTTCACCAACGTCACCAGTGCCTGTGCTGAGCAGCTCATCAAACTGCCGTCACTCAAACAACTCAATCTGTGGTCCACACAGGTACTTGAACGCATCACGAACACATGACCTCGTCACAAACACATGAACAAAAAACAATCTGTGGTCCACACAGGTACTTGAACGCATCACGAACACATGACCTCGTCACAAACACATGAACGCAACACAAAGAACAAAAAACAAGCTGTGGTCCACACAGGTACTCAAACGCATCACAAATGTAACATGGACAGACGAACACTCGAACGCAGCACGGACACACAGTCTGCAGGTAAAACGAGGTATGAGCTCTGACCTGTCGGTTCCTCCTCCCTCTTCCCCGCTGCAGTTTGGAGATGCAGGACTCCGGTTGTTATCGGAGCACCTGGCCTGTCTTCAGGTCCTGAACCTGTGTGAGACTCCGGTCACGGACGCCGGCCTCCTGGCTCTGAGCTGTAAGAAACCCCACTGTCTGAGGTAAAGTGTTGGCGTTTTGCGGTGCAGCTTGTGTAACGTGTGATGTGTTGCAGCCATGAAGAGTCTGTGCAGCCTCAACATGAACAGCACCAAGCTGAGCGCCGACACGTACGAGGACCTGAAGGTACCACAGCCGACTCTCCTTACATTTCAAACTACAGACGTTTTTCAAACTCACTTTAACTTCCAACATGACAAACCAGGAACAGGTTTCAAAGTAAAGCTTGTAGAAACTCTTCAAAATAAAAGCCTGGTTCTGAAGTACCAGGTCGCTGCTTCAACGTCTCGTTTCTGTTTGTGCGCAGGCCAAACTGCCCAACCTGAAGGACGTTGATGTTCGGTACACGGAGGCGTGGTGATCCTTCACGGCTCCTCCCACCTCCAGCATCACATACGCACGAGAAGACCGCCATCTTTACACCCGACATTCGCCGCGAGGAGGAGCTTTCTTCATGAGGAAGGAGGAGTCGGCGACTTTATGGACCACGCCACTGCTCCTGCTTCCTGGGCGGAGCTTGTTTTCACAGACGTTAAGGACCTGTTCTTCGTCCGTCTCTCACCCCGTCATCCAAACGCATTTAAAGTTTTCAGCTGAAGTTTCTCCTCCATGATGAGGTGGGAGGAACCAGCAGCTCGTTAGACTCAGACGCTGCTCCTGCCTCCTCCTTTCTCCTCCATTGTTCTTTCAGACACTCGCCATGACTTTATTTGGATCAGTAGCTCACGTTGTGGATTATTTCTGACCCGATCCCCCGTGCAGCTCCTCTGAGCACACCAGAACCAGAACCGGTTTCAGAATTTCAGGTCTGCCACTCAGAAAAACCATAACAAAAAAAGATTTTTACGAATTAACATATTTTTGCAGACGTGGATGCTTTCGTAGAACTTTCGCATGTTTTCTATAACTGCCAGTGAACCGTCCTGATGGGTTCTGAGACCCGACAGGAACCACGTCTCCTGAAGAGGACAACCACTGTCGGACCCGATCCTGTGACCTGTTGCCAGCTGAGAGTTGTATATTTTCATACCCTCTGGAAGCGGTTTCAGAACAAAGAGCAGACATTTTGCCAAACGTCTCGCTCGTTTTATCCGGCCAACCAACTTCAGCAGTTCTGTTCAGACCTCCACCCTGAGGTCCGAGGGCGGAGGCGGGATCGAACTAATGTACATAAGAAACGACTGGACGTTTTTGCTACATTCCCTCTGAACGATGTGACCCGACAGCGCGAGCCTGTCAGAACCTCTGTCCTGCCCGTCCGCACCGTGCTTGAAAACGAACTCCCGTCAGGACGTTCGATTCTTGTTCTCTCCTCAGATTTACGGACTCCTCTGAGGCAGAAATAAAAACAACTTCTAAAATCAACATTTTATCTGCTTTATTTTCATAAACGTCTTCAGGCTCGTTTTAAAACTCCCAAACTGTCCGTGTCACAATGTTAACCCTTTAGATGCTGTTTAAATAAATATTTATTAATGTTGCGGAGGTGGAGGACTTCCTGCAGAAGTTTGTGTTCAGGCGAGGTGTCCGTGAGGAACTACATAAAGAATTGATGCAATCCAATGTGGCAGCACGGTGGAGCAGTGGTTAGCACTGTGGCCTCACAGCAGGGAGGTCCTGGGTTCAACCTCTGGTTTCTGTGTGGCATTTGCTTGTTCTGTGATCTCAGAGGGCTTTGCCTGCTTAAATGAAGGTTAATAATAAAAATAATTTGTCTCTTTGACAAAACTATGAACCCTCATGTCCCCTCATGGATATTAAACATAAAACAGAAAATATTTCACGTCTGTTAAAGAAACTGATTCAAGTCCTGAAACTGATTCAGTGTTTGATTTAATTTGAAGTTGTTTCAGACATCTGTGGAAAAACACAAAAACTTTTTTTTGTGCGTCTACATTTCTGCCCTGAAGCAGTCGAATAGAAAAGACGTGGACTTTATTTTTAATTTAGTCAAATTTGCATTTCTCTCCATAAATCTCAGCTAACGGCTGAAAGGATCAGATAAATGCAGAACCTGCCGGAGGGGAGAAGGGTTAATTTATTGTGGCGCTGCGGAACGCCGCGGGCGTCCGTCGGATCGGAGGTTGGGACGTTTCCTATTTATTGGGTGCTGGGACGGCTTCCTGTTGGGCCCGTGGCCTCAGAGACCCGGTCCGTTTCGTACCCTGTTCAGTGTAAATATATCTGTATATATTCGTCGTCTTCTTTCTCTTTTGGACTCTGGTTCCGTCTCAGCTGGGTTCTATGGGCCGGCTGCTGCTGCCTTCATGTTGACGTGTTTGTGCTCCTCTTGTTTTCCACACAAAGTGCACTGTAAAGATTTTAATGTCCTCGTTTCTTTAATCAAAGACTCGTCTCCTGTGTTTGTACGTTCATGTCATCCGATGATTTTTATTTTGTAATTTTTTATAAAAAGATTTTGTTAAAGGATTTGATCACTAGCTCCACCCACCTATCTGGGCGGTTCAGGTGTGGCTCACCTGAGCCCCCCCCTCAGACTCCAGCTCACGGTTTGTTCCAGATCATGGGATCAGAGGTGGAACCACGGACGATCCTGTTTGGGTTTTATTTTTAATTTAAAGAGTTAAAGGAACAGTTCCCGGAAACAAAGACTGATTTCAACCGTTCGGTGGTTACTTCCTGTTCTGGGACGGCCGGGAGCTGGAAGCTCAGCCCAACAGAACCGAATCCTCCTGTGAGCCGAAGGAACCACACAAACGTTAAATTATCAGTAAATGGTGCTAACCCTGCAGCTGGACCTTGAAGACGAGCGCCTAAGAACCAGAACGTTTCTGCCTGAGGGGGGGGTTTGCTGAGGACCGGGAGGTCCGGGTTTCCTCCTGGACCCGCTGGCTCCGCAGGTGACAGGAAGAGGGTGGAGTCTGAGGTTTTGAAACGACTCGTGACGCTTCCTGCTCGTTTTTAGTGACGGAGGAGTGAAAACGTTCAGAGAAGCTGCCTCGTGTTCAGACCGGTTCCTCAGAAACCCCCTCCTGGATCGGTTTCATGGACCCACTCAGGTCTGGTCTCTACCAGCAGAGGAACCCAGCTGCACACCACGACTCGAGACTCTGGACTAGAGAGAGACTTGAGACAACAAAGACTTGAATGATCTCAGACTTGAGAGACAACTTGAGACTTGAGGACAGGAGAGACTCGTGTTAATCTCAGAGACTCAGGACATTAAAGACTTGAATGATCTCAGATTTGATGGCAACAGAGACTTGAGATAATCTCAGACTTGAGATAATCTCAGATTCGGGACAACAGGGATTCAGGTGACAAGAAGACTTGGGATGACTCGAGACGGAGACAACAAAAAGAGCAACAAGCTGCAGGTGAAACTCGGACTCGGGTCGAACCTGAACCCGTTTGTTTCCAGAACTGTTCCTTTAAACGCGGCGAGTCGTTTTCAGACCGAGTCCAAACGCTGGCGTGTGTTTTGTTGTTGAATGTGACGATCTCTGAATCCTGTGGAGCTCCGTCCTCCTCGTCTTTTAATCTAACGAGTTCCTCCTGGACTCGAGTCCTGATGACTGACTGAAGCGTTTCTGAATCTTTGTGGTAAAAATGTTGGCAGCTGGAAACGAGGCGGCCATGTTTCTCTTTTAGTTCAACTTTCAATAATCTGCTTCTCCTGCTGGGTTAATATTATTATTATTAATATTATTATTGCTACTGTAATAAAAATACATTCTTTGACAGGAAACTTAAAATATGATGTGAAATAATTTCAATCAGAAATAAAAATGTCTGAATATGTTTCAGCTGGATGTCGCGTATTTTTATATTTTTTAATCTGGGCTGCAAAGGTCAGAATAATTAAAACTTTAGGATTTATTGTAAACGTTCCCTCCTAAGGTTCATCCAGTGCGAGTGATGCAACGCTCATTTATCGCCGTGACAACATTCAATTACTATAAAACAGACTTTAGAAGAGTAAGTATTTTATTCTTATGAACCGTTGTGGTGTTCGGGTTTATGTGGCAAACTTCTTGAGTCGGACCGGAGCGGGCAGCCGGGCCACGATGTCCTGCAGGGGGCGCTCCACCACCACCAGGGAGCCGTCCTCCAGCAGCGCCATGCACAGGAGGTTCTGTTGGACCAGATGGACACGTCCAGATTAAAGACGCTCAGAGCACCATGTCATCTTCACTCGCTTTCTACAACATTCAGTGTGATTTGTACAAGACGACGGCTGCAGCTGATGATGTCACTTCCTGTTTGAGTCGCCATGAAATAAACGGACTGAGGTGTAACGGTTAATGACGACTGCAGGGATCCGTTCTGTTACGGATGACTCCCGGCTACTACAAACCTCAGGTCAACATCTGGAAATGAGTTGGAGCCAGTTTTGTTCAAGCCTGCTCAGCTGTGGCAGCCATCTTGATTTACATTTCCCCGGGGATTAATAAAGTTGCCGTATTTTCCCGCCTATAAAAGTCACAGTTTTTTTTGCATAGATTTGTCAGTCCTGCAACTTTTATACGCAGAAGCAACTTCTATACTTTATTCCCCCCATATTCATAAACGCATTTTTTACTGACGCTTAAAATTTCGAAGAACTCCAACAGCGAGTCCTCCCATGCGCGCTCGCTTCACTCGGCTGGTGCAGGCGGAGGAATGTTGCGGAGTCAGCAGTGACGCATAATAAATGCGACTTATACGCCGGAAAATACGGTATCGATTCATCCATTTACTCCAACAGTGTTCGCATAAAGATTACATCCGAGTTGCACTAAACTGACTGCTGGTTCAGCAGATATTTTGCTAACAGACAAAAGTCTGGACCTCAGGATGTACCTGGAAGTTCTTGCAGATCTTGAAGGCGTGGCTGCTGCTGCTCCTCTTAGCCTGAGGAAGAGTCCGGAGGAACAGCTGGTTGAAAAGCGACGACTTCGCCTCGGGAAGCGGCTGCATTTAGAAAAACATTTATCACAAAATAATGGTCAAACTGGTCTGACAGGTCTGGATTAAAAACATCTAAAGTGGCAAAAACACAAAGGTCCAAACGATCAGGAGTCGTCAACAAAACTTTATGAAATAAATACAAATAATAACATTTTCTGTAAACAAAGTGTGGGAGCCGAAGTCGCTAAAAGCTAACAGTAGCACAAGAGGCTAAACGGTCATTAGCTGGAGCAGATTTTTTCAGGAACTAATGAGATTTTTAGGCATTTCTACGGGAAAATATTTGTAAATAAAGATACTAAATTTGAAAAGTATAAAAGTGACAGCATGTAGCTGCTGGATGAGCCGAATGTTTTGATGCAAGAACAGCTAAAGTAGCACAAAGTCTGCAGAGGAGTTGGACTGGAAAGAAAATTTACAGAAAAATACGACGAATGAGACGATAAAGGATAAATATTAATAATAAATATAAAAACTTTTTGAATTAAAAGCAGACGAGCTTCGACTGAGATCTGCATAAAAACACGAAACTTTAAAAACTTTAAAAGATAAACGGTTAAGAATCTGCTTCAGACGAGGTGTCAGAACAGGAACGTTGTTTATTTTTTTTTACTTTTCCAGAGAGAAGTTAATTTTCAGAGTCGGCCATGTTTTAATTTCTGTCTAACAGAAGAGATAAAAACAAATTAAATATAAAATAATATGAACTCAGCTCCTGGATGGAACGGCGGAGCGTCGATCTTCTCAGTTTACTTTTTACAGATAAATTCAAACCACGAGACTCTGAAGGAGGAGGCCAGCGAGGCGGTGCCGTACCTGGGTCCGGTCGATGATGCCGAACATGAAGGTGTCGTTCAGAACCAGCTGGTCCGGGTTGCTGGGGTTGAAGGTGACGGTGGTGACAGGCGTGTCCCTCTGCAGCCACCTGGGGTGCAGTCCTAGTCTCTGCAGCTTCCGGCACCACTCGGTGTACTCCTTCTGCTTCAGGGAGAACTCCAGGATCTGCACAGAACCAGCTGTTACAGAACCCGCTGCCGGGGGGAGAAGAGATCCTGCAGGGAACCGCGAGGGAACCGCGAGCAGAACTCACCTGCTGGTCCGCGTGGACGGAGACCAGGCTGCCGCTCGATGAGCTGACGGAGATGGCCGTGGGACAGGAGCCGTGCACGGGAACCGAGCAGTGGAGCTGCCGACCGACAGGGACACTTTTAGTTCTGGACCAGGAGGTTCTGATCCAACGTACAGCTACACTTTATACCACTGATAATAAAATGTTCGTTATTCGTCTGAAAATTTTCAGTCAGACCTCCAGACCGAGTCAGACCTGAGGACCGAGTCAGACCAGAGGACCGAGTCAGACCAGAGGACCGTGTCAGACCTCTGGACCGAGTCAGACCTCTGGACCGAGTCAGACCTGAGGACCGAGTCAGACCAGAGGACCGAGTCAGACCAGAGGACCGAGTCAGACCTCTGGACCGAGTCAGACCTCTGGACCGAGTCAGACATGTGGACCAACCTTCATCTTGTGGAGGTTGAACACGTGGATCTCACAGTCCGTGTTCGCCGTCGCCAACCATCTACCATCTTCACTGGGAGACAGCAGGTGGAGCGGCTGTTTGGAGCCTGAAACGATAAAAATGGTTTTAAAGTGTCAAAACTCAAAGAAAGAACAACAATTGTAACTGTGAAGGAGACCTGAAAGCACAAAAACCTACTAAAAGATAAAGTCCATGCTCAATAATCCAGGTGTACAATCCAACATTTTTCAGTCAGGTCATCTGGACAGTTTCTTTTTTGTGCTGAAACGTTTCGCCTTCGATCCAGAAGGCTTCATCAGTCAAGGAAACACACAACAAAACTGATTCTTACTCCAAAGTGGAACAAACCAGTTCTGCTTGTGATAAGATGGTCTCTTTGGTACGCCCCCTCCTCCATTGCCGGCCCTCTTCCTGACTGACTCGGTCCTCAGTATACCTGGATTATTGAGCATGGACTTTGTTGTTTTCAACCAGTTTGACAAGACTGTCAACAAGGAAGAAGGCCGACAATGGAGGAGGGGCGTACCAAAGAGACCATCTAATCACAAGCAGAACTGGTTTGTTCCACTTTGGAGTAAGAATCAGTTTTGTTGTGCGTTTCCTTGACTGATGAAGCGTTCTGGATCGAAGGCGAAACGTTTCAGAACAAAAAAAACTGTCCAGATGACCTGACTGAAAAATGTCGGGACTACTAAAAGATACTTTAGTATAAAAGACGACCAGTTTTAAACACAGACTAAACGAGAACATCTGGGAAGATAAACAGCAGAAACTGAAACTACAGATCTGCTCCTCCTGTAAGGTTTGGTTAAGTTCATGGGTTTCCAGTAGAAATGTGATTTATCCCTTCTTGACCTGAAGACGACTCACCGGACTTGTGCTTGAGGGTCTGAAGGTATTTACACTCCTGCTGGTCGAGGTCGAGGCCGACAACGACGATGGAGGACAGGCTGGACGAGGCGAAGAGTGTGGAGGAGTCGGAGGAGAAGCAGAGCTGGTGGACTGACTGGAGCTCTTTAGGCAGTTTGGACACCTGGAGGAGCACCGGGACAAAAACACCCGTCTTCATCTTTAACAGAGACATTCAAGGCCGTCTGGGAGGTCTCTGACAGCTTCACCTCACCTTGTTGATGCTGATGTTGTTGTGGAGCTGCAGTCTGTAGAGACGGACGCCGGAGACGGTGGAGTACGCCAACCAGCCTCCACACGGAGACAAGGCGCTGCAGCAGATGTGATCACGTCCCTGCAGGAAGCAGCAAAAGGTTAATCACCTTTATTCAATTTAACGTCTTAATTATTAGAATATTCAATCGACTAAACGATGATTCATGACAGTAGTTCTGTTTGTTTTCACCTGAACACACCTGGATACAGAAGCAAACTGTTTTACACAATAACGCACCTTCCTGTTGAGCTGGATCAGTTTCTCAGGTTCCCTCTTCACAGGCAGACTGTCGCCGGGCTTCCCTGGTAACAGATTACAATTAAATCAAAAAGATTGTTTATTGAAAAGCCCGCTTCAATTCATATCTAACTGCTCTGTTCAGCATTTATATTTTTATCTCCACTGAATAAACAATTTATATTAATCAGGAAGAAAAGTACAGTTTAGTTTAAATGAATCATTTAAAATCTATAAAACTGCGGTTGGTTGTCATCTCCAAATTGACCACTAGATGGCAGCACAGCTAAATCATGCACAAATGTATCAAACTAATTAAGAGCAAACTAAAAAAAGTTTGGAACCAAAATGTTTCTTTTTTTATTAACATTGAGACAAAAGCTATAGCTTGAAGTTATTTTTGTGTAATAATTCAGGCGGTTCATCTGATTTCACGTGAATATTTTCGGTTATGTATCAAATCGACAGCAGCACGGGCTGCAGACTGGTCAGCTTCTCTTTTGTGCAAACATCTGAAGAAATGATGCGAATCAGAAAAAAAAAATCTGTTTTCACAAGCACGGATGTCAGGAAAAACTTTAAAAAAAAAAAAAGATGTTGAGATGGACAAAAAAGGAGAAAAAGATGCAGTTCTTTGGGATGTTAGCGTGTTAGCTTAATTCAATTCAGTTTATTTCTAAAGCTCCAAGTCCCAACAGAAGTGGTCTCAAGTCACTGTACAAAAACATTCACATACATTAATAAATCCAGTTAGTAAAAGTTATCTGTCTAAGGAAGGCTGCAGATTGTGTCGACTCTTCACTTCATCGCAGTCTCCCATCCTGAGCAAGCACAAAGGCGACAGTGGAAAGGAAAAACTCCCTTTTAGCAGGAAGAAACCTCCAGCAGAACCAGGCTCAGGACAAGCGGCCATCTGCTTCGAGCTTAGCATGTGCGTTAGCACAGAGGTTGGTATGTGAAGTAACAGAGGTTGTGTTGGCGTGTGTTAGCGTAGAGGTTAGCGTGTTAGCATGTGTGTTTCTCACCGGTTCCATCGCTGTCTCCAAGCCTCCACACCTCCAAATGATCTGGAAACTGGAAGAGCAGCAGGCCTGCTTTCTTCGCACAGCTAACAAGGTTTCTCTACAAGGAAACAGACCAAAGTGATGGTGTTGCCATGGCAACAGGTGATCAGGAGACATTTCTTTAACGGTTTAAACTGGGGTTTGAACTCTTCAAACCGTTCTCTAAACATCTCGGGTGAAAGTTTTCTTCTTCACCTCAAACACGTCGCTGCACTCAGACACATTTCATGTAAACGCTCTTCGTCGCACCTGCGAACGGGTGACGGTGTTGTTCTGTTTACTCACGTGAGGGAAAACGATTTTCCGCAGCGCTGCCTCCTGGGTGTTCTTCTCCACTTTGTCCAGCAGGGGTCGCACCACCAGCTGGGTGTCGACTCCTGAAAGAACATCATCATCATCATCATCAGTGAGCCTGTGTGTTTTAGGTGGAAGAAATGGGAACAAACTGCATTTGTGATGAGCTGCTGGGAGCAAAGAGACGAAAGTTTTAAAAGTTCTTCGATCTGACCATGAACTGTGGAGTATGATCCACCAAAACAAACCCATTAAAAGCTGAAACAGAACCAAGACGGTCCCAGTATATTAAGCCCCGCCCCCTACAACTGCCCAGTCCTCTGTTCAGGTAGAAGGTCTGAAACTAAGAGAAATCAGCCAAAATAAAATTAAAAAAATAAATAAAACCCTGAAAGACGTTCAGGAGGTCTGGACCACTTTTAAAACACGACACTAAACTCGGGCTCATTAGAAAGAAAATAAATAAATTTATTTCCAGCAGAACCTCCTTCACAGGAAGAAAAACAGAATTTATTGAAAGACCAACCTCCAGAAACCACAGCGGTGTCGGTGTGAACGAGCGCCTTCACGTCATGAGAGTGGTTTTTAAAGGTCCTGGTTCTGAACCACTGCTGGTCCTGCTGCTCCCCAGAGGAGACGAGCTGAAACTGGACCACGGTTCCCTCAGACGTCCCGGCGATCACGCTGCTCTCGTCCTGTGGAGCATTTGAGAACGGGTGAGACTCTTCGGAGACCAGGCTTGTAACGGGCAGCTACCGTCACGTTGCTCACCGGTGAGACGGACAGAACCAGGACGTCCCACTTGGTGACCAGGTGAGTCCTGAGCAGAGTTCCCATGAAGCCGTCCCAGAACTGGACCTTCCCTGCAGAATCCCCGCTGATGACCGTGCCGTCAGACAAAAAGACCACGCTCCAAACCACCACCTCCTGGGTCTTTGGCACTCCGGCACCTCGCTCCACCAGCAGGCGGTGCGTGGCGTGGCCTGGTATCAGAACCGGGACAAAGAACCTCTTTAATAAAACCCAAACGGATTAGAAAGGTTCAAGCTGGCGGTTCTTATTTACCCGTTTCTGTGTCAAAGATTCTGATCATGTCCATCGTTCCTGCTGCGATCTGCGCTCCGGACGGATGCCAGGACAGAGACACGATCCGACCTACAGAACCAACACACGACCCGACCCGTGTTTACAGCGGTCTGCTGCTGCGACACTTTACCAACAGATTTTATAAATACGGTCGATTTATTCGTCCTAAATAAACTCTCATCAGAAAATATTGATTCTAAAATATAAATCAACATCACGACAGAAGGCTGAACTTCATGTTAAGTTGTTTTGGATTTATCCATCAGAATAAAAACTTCTGGACTTTGGAGACTTGACTTAGATGCTGCTGCTTCCTCTGTGGACGACACGTCTTCAGGTTTCATACATTTCAGGTGCTCTGATTCTGCGCCCCGGTCCAGAATCAATCTTCAGACCCAACTAAAGCTTGGAGCTGTTGCTTCTTTGGTGAAGTTTGAAGTTCTGATCTGAAACTGGACTTGGTTACGGTGAGCCATGTGAGAAGAACCAGCTGTTAGTCTGAAGGAACAAAGTGAAGAATTTGGACCTTTTTGTCTCTCGAGGTTCTTCTGAAACTGAATCCTCTCCTCCAGGATCTCAAACATCTTCACCGTTCCATCCTCACAGCCAGCCTGTCAGAAAACAGTCAGTCAGCTCACAGCTGCTGGAAACTCTCTGAACTCGTTGTTAGAGCTACAAACCGCCAGCGTGGTCCCCTGTCTGTTGCTGCTGAGGGACCAAACGGGCCCTCCGTAGGCCTCCAGGCTGTATCGGGGCCTCAGGTTCTCCAGGTCGTACTCTGTGATCTCTCCACCCAAACCGGCGCTGAACAGACGTGGACCCACCCAACACAGAGCCTCGACGGCCCGCCGGTCCCGCCCCGGGATCACCTGAGTGCCAAAAACAGAACAAAGATGGAGGTTAGCTCCTCCTCCAGGAAACGGGTCTGTTCTCGGCTGAAAAGCGAACAGAAAACCGTCAGAGCGTTCGTTTCTGACGAGTCGCTCAGACTCTGCCGTCTCCGCTCCGACCTCCTACCTTCTCCTGGAAGTAGTTGTCAGCGAAGTTGAAGATTTCCACCGACCCGTCAGCTCGGGCCGCCGCCAGCCGCTCGGTGTGGCGGCAGAACGCCAAGGCCCGGATGGCACTGGGCATATAGTCAAAGAACCGGACCCGGTGCACCTTAAACTCCCCCATTTGGTTCTAGGACGAGAAACGCACACAACAAAACTATTCGTTACATTTTCTCACATTTGACATCAATTAAACTTTAATGCTTTTCGTCGCCTCGTGATCTTCTGAAATTAAAAAGGGACATTTAAACTCAAACACTTAAACACAATGTTTTTATGGGTGAAATCCAAACAAAGAAACTGAACCACATTGAACCTGAAACAACAAATTATAGAACAGCTCAACATGATCCAAACACCCGTCCAACGTAAACTAGATGTAAACGCACGTCAGCGACTGCAGACCTGGAGCATAAAGCGTGTGAACGGTCCAGGACACTTCATCCTCACTGAGAAGAAGAAACGGCGTCAGATCAGCAAATTGATCCAGAACAACTCCCCTGCGATGCTTCGGAAGGTCCACATGGTGCACACACAGCAACGTGTCCATAAAGAGATGCTAAAGTTGTGTGACACTGTGGAACAGTGGCAGCGGTGGTGCTGCTGCAGGGGGACATCAACAGAACTGGGAGGCAGCTGAGTCGAGTATTTCTCCGAGGTACGCCTGCATGAGACGGCCTCATCCATACGTTCTCCTGAAATAACGTTTCCTCACGTGGCGGCTGAAACGCTTTGTTGAAGAGCAGCGACTCGCTTCTTCACATCAACCGTTTCATCTTCTGTTGGACCGAGCTCCTGAGTGTCTCTGTGTTTAATCGTGTTTTTAAACAATTACTGGAAATGCAGCAGACTCAGAAAAGCACCACTGGCTGATCCCACCACCCAGTTCACTTAATTTAAAAACGGTCCTGAGGAGCTGGTTCTCCTGAGTCTGTCCTGAGGAGCTGGTTCTCCTGAGTCGGTCCTGAGGAACTGAGTCTGTCCTGAGGAGCTGGTTCTCCTGAGTCAGTCCTGAGGAG